TTCAACTTTACTTGATTCTGTGAATCAAGGAATTGAACAGAAACCTATTACATAATTCATTAATACCTTTCACTTTTGTGCTTTAACAAAAAGTTTTCTTTGAGCGATTTTACTATAAAACTACCTTTATCTAATATAAACCCTAACCCTAACATAAACGAACTTTAAAATTTTGAGGGTAGCACGTAACTGTGAAAATTTGTTGGCGATACTGGGGAAGATAGTAAATTTTGTCACGTAGAGTTTGTTTTATACAAGTGACTCTCGATATAAGAAACCTTTGACATAAGAAGACTAATTCAACTCTCGATATAAGAAAGATTTCTACTATAGACCCGACTACCTTTCTTATATCGAGATTCACTTGTATTTGGGTTAGCGTTTAGATAGGGGTTAGAGGCTAGCGAGGTATATAATGAAATCAAAATGAACCCTTTTTTGTTCGCCATTGGCCAATTTCAAAATCAGCATCAGCCATGACAAATAATATATATTATAAAAGCATGCGTGCCTGATTTTCGAATATTGCTCTAGTATTGTTATTCCACCCTCTCCATACGCCTGTAACAAATCGCCGGGTATCCAGAGTTTTAAACCAAATTTTAGCACCCATAGCCAAAAGAGGAATTGCAGTTATGACTATAGATATACAGTGTGCTATCAACCAACCGTCGCGTTTAAAAGGTGTAAAGAATCCAATCGTTCCAATTAAAAATGACGTTATTATTAGGGCGCCAACAGCTACTCCACCTAAAAAGAAAATATTTCACACAGTTTAAAAACACTTGAATAGAATTAAATTTGTGCAAATTATTTAAATATACCTATAAGTAAACCTTGCGATAAGACTATATCGCGTAGTTTGTCTCCATGATCAAGAAGCCATGAGGAACTAAGATCTATCATTACAATTCCTGTAGCGAGATAAGCTAACTCCGTGAAAAGAAAACAACCTAATACTCCTTTATTCAAACTTTTGTATGGGTTTTCGCTCGTAAGTTGGCGAGTCCTATATGAATCTAAATTTAAGCTTACGCTATGATTCATATTGATAAAAAGTGAAAGGTATTAATGAATTATGTAATAGGTTTCTGTTCAATTCCTTGATTCACAGAATCAAGTAAAGTTGAA